CCTCTGCACTCCAATGACATTGTAGTACTTTGTTCTAGGGAGTGGTGAGGTGTTGGACCTTAATATCTCATCCCCTCTCCCCTCCTGTACTCCCAGACTAACATAAGTGGTTGTTTTGAGTTTGGTATCTGAGTCCTAGCAGCACCACCCACCTCCCCCAAGCACCACTCACTGGCTCCCTGGGCCAGCACTGTGCCAACAGTGAGCAGGGGCTTGTTTGCACTGGTTAAGAAAGGATTCATTTTCTTTTTGCACAAGGAAGCAGGCACATTCACTGTGGCCTATAATTGTCATGCAGCATCCTGACCAGTGACCTAGCTAGCTGGCCCCAGCCTTCCCTTCTTCTTCCACTTGAAAATGTTTGTAATTGTTATTTTAATAAAAAGTAATTAAATCAAATGTATGCACAGGTATAATGTTACATCTGGCAATAAGAGCAGGTGTGAGATAGACTCGTGTGTGTGTGTGTTTTAAATTAGTACACTGAAGCACTGGATAAGGATGACTTCACTTGTGCATCTGCTTCTTACCAAGCAGACAATTATCTCTACCTACATACAAAATGGATAGTCATCTACATCCATGATAACATAAGCACAAGGGGTCCCCGGTGTGATGGGGCAACACATTCTAACTGTACATGACAGCATGTATAGCTGCAGTAGGAAAATCAATGGCTTTGGTATACAGCCACCACACACACATTCTGCTTCTGGCATGGAGGACATGGCCAGGACACCCATATGCTGCACAGATCTACAGCAGCTGTTCCTGACTCTTGAGGCCATTAGCAGCCAAAACAAGCTAGTACAATGCTCTAAACTACACTTGGGGGCTAGCCCTGTACACAGCACTCCTTGAGATCAGGAATACAAAGCTGATCAATATAATGTCTTGCAGACTCAAACCTGTGATATGCTATGTGCAGCCCAACCAGACCACAGGATCTGACTCACTGAATGGGTGGGAGCAACAACTTTCTCTATCTTACTTTACAAAGCCCCAAACAATAAGTGTCTGTAACTGCACAGGAATAGATGCAGAATTTCAGAGAAACAGGAGCAACAGCTCATACAGTACACAGCAGCCTGCCTTCTAAACAACAAAGGCAGATGTGACATTATCACAGCAGTACCCCATGCACTCCACTGACGCCCCATTCAAACCAAAAGGATCACAACTCAAAGATTTGATCATAATCTACAAGGCTGTAAAAGTGAAGGGCCTGGCCGTATCAAGGACCATTTCACAATCCACAAGATAACTGTACTCCATACAAATGATACAGTTAAGTAGGTTCAGATTCTTAGTGACAGAGGGCAGAATATTCACAATGAGAGGACCCTCAGCTGTGGAAGGCCTTGCCAAAGTGAAAGCCACTAAGTGTACCCACGTGTCACCCTACGGATCAAGATGCAAAAACCATATTTATACCAAAGCTGTCACCTGCAAGAGACTTCTACTGCTGACAATCTGATAGGGATAGCAAGAGAGAATGAATGAAAGAGAAAGAAAGAGGAAGAGAAGAAATTTACAAAAGACAGGTAAGTTTTAGAAACTTGAAAAAACAGGGATGAAGTAATCTATCTTAACCATGAAGCAGCGATGGGCATACTTTTAATACCAAGGACAAGTAAGTACCAATCTCCCTGCCAAAGGATCAAAAAGTTGCAAAATGCAGTGCCTTCCTTCCAGCTCTGATGAAGGGCATGGGAGAAATGGCTGTGCTCAAATGGCACGTCTGCCTATAAGCCCCCAAATCATGGGTCATTTGTGCTTATAGCCCAATTCCATCCTCAACAGACTACTGCTTATGATATATTTGTTTTACTTTTCTAAATGTTATTTATCTGTTGTATATTTAGCTCTATGACAACTCCATTAAATATACCAGAAGGTACCACCCAGTCACGTGAAATCTTTCTTATGTAGCAAACTAACCATGATGAATGAAGGACCTTTGTGCAGGGGATTGCCCTGGGCTTCTTTAAGAGTTAAAGATAAATTTTCCTCTGGTTCTGGAAGATATTAAGATAGAGGAATTCAGGGACTCAAGCTGTCTATTGATCCCAAACCGATTTCAGCCGACATAACAGTCAATACGCAGCATGAAGCTAAATTAGCTAGCAACAGCATTACAATGTGATAGCCCAACAAACCAAACCTAATTATCAATCACCTTTAATGGTTAGAGTAATTATCATCAACTTCTACTGGCTACAGAGATTTTCTACTGGCTACAAAGTTTTTAAGCCATGAGGTGGGATAAAACCTCACCTAGCTACCAGTCTTATTTTGAAATGATGCACTGTCATTTAAGTACTACCTCAACGGCAAAGACTAAAACAGTAGTTCTCAACCAACCAGGGTGCCTTGAGATTTTTTTTTTCCAAGGGTGCCACCAGAGGTCACACAATGTTAGTGCTGCTAGCTGCAGGAACATGATTCACAAGATAAACCCAGAGATTTCAAATAGAATAAATTTAAATACATTGTTGTGGTCTTTTCGAGTTCTTTGCAACAGACAAATTGCTCTATTATTTTTCTGTAGTCAAAAAAATGAGTGCAAACTAAGAGCTGGCATTTTCCAAGGGGTGCCTTGAGTCTAATGAGGGGCGCCTTGAGTCAAAAAGGTTGAGAACCATTTCTCTAAAATGCACTAAGAGAATATATTAACCACTGCAGGCTAAGCCACTAAGTTATATTCAGTAGCAACAGACCATAACTCTAATAATTACTATGAAGGTTGATAAACTGATCATAATTTATATTGGATGGTGAAAGCAAGCCTTAAAATGTAATCCGTTTTGTGCATTCTTAAATCCCTCAATACAACATTCAGCTCTTTAAGGAAAACTAAACAACTTCCTTTAGCCTAAATAAATATTAAGCCCGTGATGCATTACTTTACTCCAGTTCACCAAAGGGGAACTCCTATGCAAACTGATCATTATAATAGAAATCCTTATAATCCCTCTCTCCCATTGAAACTCAAAACATGTAATCCTGTGAATAAATCCAGAAAGAAAGTGTAACAAAATGGGCAATAAAAACTTACTGCATTCACATCTTTTCATCTACCATTAATACTGTAAACACTCACTTGAAGGCCCTTGAGTATGACTAATCTAATGTTTTGGCTCCCACCAGTAATAGCCATAATAGTGTGCCTCTTGTTATAACACCCAGTTTGATTCACCACCCCCTAGAAAAGTGGCTAGAGAAGACACCCCTTCCATTCAGAGTAAAACCTCACGTCAGATCTTCTTGCAAAATGCTGCAAAATCAGCACTAAATCTAAAAAGTATGGTTCTAATAGTAAGCGAGCACAGGACTTTTTTCTCTTTATTTTATTGCTTTGGAAGCCTGCAAGCTCCAACTGTATAAATGCCAATAACTTCCCAAGTTTTAAAGCTGCTGAAGTAAGAGATCAGATTTTAGCAAGTGCTTTCCAGGCAATGAGCCAAACTTCTTCTGATTCACTAAAAGCAACAAGGGCTGGGGGGGGGAGGGGGCCAGACTGAAGGGCTGATTAACTTCAGTTACCGCACAATTTCAAAAATGTCTCCTTACTGCAAAGGGTGCCATCGCAGAGAGCCCTGCACAGCCTGTTATTCCTGGGTTTGAAAAAATGTGCTGGAGAAATCCAGCAAACGCCTTCCAACCACAAAGTAATTTACAGCTGTAGATCCCCTCTCTTGACTTAGGAGGCTGCTCTGCTGAAATAAGGAGTCTTTTTGTTTTTACAATCAATCTAGCAGCAATTTCCGGGGGGGTGTCTGTGGACCCATTCCAGTCCATGAGGCTGGCTCCAC